CGCTTAGTATAGAGGAATCTCAGGGTTTGCTTGAAGGGAAACAAAAAGGGAAACGTCCAGCACCTCAAGAGGATGAGGAGGGGGGTCCATCAAAGAGAGCCCAGCCAGCTCGGAGACGCTGTGGTGTGTGTGGCGAGACCGGTCATAATGCGGGAACCTTTTCTAAGGATACGGAATTGTCAAATGATTCGAGTAGTAATGAGGAATAGTTAATTCAATGTGTTGTGGTTGTGCAATAGTAAATACCATTACGTGCATGGGAAAAAGTTCGTCGCTGACTGATGAACCACGTTATCAAGAGTCATGGCCGTCTGCTAACCTTTGTCATATCTTGACCAAATTTGATGATCATGTTGGACTCATCGCGTTCGCCGACACTGTAGGAGCACTTAGCGCCTCTCAGTCTCGGAATGAGGTGGATGAAGAGTATGTATGCAGTTGTCCCTACTTTCATCTGACTCGAGCAAACGCGGGGACTCCAACAATATGACAAACTACTCGGAACTAACCTGACCTGATGCGGTAGGTCTAATCGAGGACCTTGGGAAACGGCGTTCAATGAGAAACAGCTTGGATGAGCCGAGCGACAGACTAGGATTCATCGTCTATAAACTGATTGGTACCATGCAATGTTTTCCACCTTCCTTGACGATGGGGGGGGACTTGACGTGTAGGAAGACACTATTCAAGGACCATTACAGCCTGGCGGTTCTTACGCTAATTTATATTAGAAAACAATCAGGATTTCATATTGAGCGCATACATGCAGAGCCGTGAGTCTCCCTTTGATACTAGTACTTAGCCTTTGAAGCCAGGATACCGATTGACGAGACGGAATGACAGCATGAAACCATTCTTGATAATACAACAGGGATGCCTCGATCGCACTAATACTTCCTAAGTCTCCGGCTTTTGAATCAGCAGTGGGCACTGAAAATCTACGCAAAGGAAAGCCCGAGCCTTATCGGTGCAGAAGTGGTGTCACATAGCAGCCAGCCAGCCAGCCAGCTATCAGAAGTTCCTACGCTTACAGACTGAGGGTATCATTCCAGTCCACAATTCGATGCAATATGCGTTAGTTTTTTTTTCTGAGTCAAGCTCACCTAGTTGGGGCTTGGAGGACCCAGCATGCCTGGTCACGCTGGTATCCTTGTCGAAAGGACTGTACTAGTAGAGCAGAACGCGAATGGTACGCACTCGGACCTAGAGCCGTACAACATGAAATCCATAGTAGCCCATCCATACGGATAGTTTTACAAATGTCCATGTGGCTAAGATTTCTGGCTGATGTCTCTCCAGGAGCACGCATGGTTTGAGTAAAGGCGAGGCCAATGAAAATACTCTCAAACCTGATAACGTCCAGAGATACTTACCAAGTGTGAGCCTCATTACGTACTTACGTGCCTATAATAAATCAAAACACCAATACTCTCAAAAGACGACCTGACGGATTCAGTCCCGGAGTCTTTTAGCCATCTACTAATACTTGACATATCAGACCTTACCTTAGTCTATGACAATAAATGTGCAGACGCAATTATGAGCACGTGCACTAAAATGATATCCCAAAATATGTCGGCATCGCGTTCACACTGCCACCCTCTCAAATGTAGATCAGCCTGCTCAAGTTGTTAAAACAGTGAACGGCATCTTTGTACGTAAGTTATAAGGTAGTTTGAACGCCTGGAGTATCACAGTCTGATACACAAGTAGCATGGTTGCAAGCCTGCTTCAAAGCGATGACAGAACTTTGAAGGTATTTCCAAAGAGAAGTTCATACAATTAGGACGAATTAGTACTCTTTTTCCAGTTAGCCTAACGTGAATGATAAGCGAGTGAGACAGACAAGCGAGTGAGACACAAAACTGCGCCGATGATGCTTCAACACAAATGGAGACGTTTCTTCCACAACACATCATGGCATCCAGAAGTAATGAGTCAGGCATACAGCTGGCCCTTCAAGCTATCAGAATCAATCCAGAGCTTAGTGCACGGGCTGCAGCTACGATCTACTCGGTCAGCCATGCAACATTGAGTCGACGATTGAAGGGCTCTACATCTCGAAGCGACAGGATACCGAACTCGAGGAATCTTACTTTGCTAGAAGAGCAGACGTTAGTTGATCACATTCTCGATCTAGGTGCCCGATCATTCCCTCCCCGGATCCGTGGTGTGGAAGAAATGGCTGATCGACTGCTTGCTGATCGCGACGCGCCTCCGGTTGGGAAGCGCTGGGCCTTAAACTTCGTCAAACGACAACCACAATTGCGGACGCGGTTTTTTCGGAGGTACGACTACAAGAGGGCCCAATGCGAGGATGCAGAGGCTATTCGCGGCTGGTTCGCTCTTGTGAAGAACACAATCGCGAAGTATAGTATCGATGAGTTTGATATCTACAACTTTGATGAGACTGGCTTTATGATGGGCCAGATTGCATCTGGCATGGTTGTCACAAGTACTGAAAGGCGTTCAAACACAAAAATGGCGCAGCCTGGTAATCGAGAATGGGTTACAGTGATTCAAGCCATCAACTCGCAAGGCTATAACGTCCCGCCGTACATCATCGTTGCAGGCCAATATCACCTCTCAACCTGGTATACAGAGTCAGGTTTCCCGGACGACTGGGTCATTGCGACGTCAGAAAACGGATGGACAACAAATGAAAGAGGCCTAGATTGGATCCAGCACTATGATCGTCATACGAAACCACGTTTGAGAGGCCAATATCGCCTCCTCGTCGTCGACGGGCACGAAAGTCACCACTCAACAGACTTTGAGCTATATTGCAAGGCAAACAAGATCGTTACACTTTGTATGCCGCCTCATTCGTCTCATCTACTCCAGCCCCTTGACGTTGGGTGCTTTGGTCCGCTAAAGACGGCGTATGGGCAACAAATTGAGGATAAGATGCGGCGGGGCGTAACCCACATCTCAAAGGAGGACTTCTTTCCTGCATATCGCAGCGCATTTAGTCAAGCGATGACTGAAAAAAACATCCAAGGGGGTTTTAGAGGAGCTGGGCTTGTTCCTCTGAGTGCAGAAAGCGTCCTATCAAAGCTGGATATCCGGCTACACACTCCAACGCCTCCAGCATCACTACCACAGACACCTCCGCCTTGGGTTTCAAGGACACCAAACAACCCAGTAGAGGCAAGCTCTCAATCCAACTTTATTAAGAGTCGGATCACTCGTCACCAAAGCAGCTCCCCAACCTCTATTTGCGAGGCTGTTGAACGACTTTCTAAAGGTACAAGAGGCATCATGCACCAAGTAGCCTTACTTAGATCTGAGGTACAGATTCTTAGAGACGAGAATAACCAACTCAGTCGACGACGGAGAACTAAGAAAACACGCCTACAACATGGAGGAAGTCTTACTGTAGCTGACGCAGCAGATATACAGTCACAGAAAGATGTGACTGCGCAGGTTCAGGAGGAAATGCGTCGTACTAGTGGTCGCAAACTGAGGGCCGAGACAGGTCAGCGACGGTGTGGCGTTTGTGGTCACCCGGGACACAATTCACGAACGTGCCAGTTTATTGAAGAGATGTCTGAAGATGAGGATTATGAGTAGTTTGAATTGAATTGATGCTGTTGATGTTGATATGGAAGCCAGTTTATCTCATCGGCGCAGTTTTGTGTCTCACTCACTTGTCTGTCTCACTCGCTTATCATTCACGTTAGGCATTGCAAGGCAGTGAAGATTCGGAACCCCAAATCTCTTCAGGAAATAACCGGGCTGTTTGGCAGCCGTTTAGTAATAAGAAATTGTGTCGTTCAAGCGCTCGCTATTCGCGTTTGGTGATTAGTCCGAGAACGCGACGTTAGCGCCTCGCCAACTCGCCATTCGGGATGAATTCTGCGCAAAGATGCAGAGACCCGCTGTATTTGCCGTTCTAGCGAACATCATAGTGCTCCCAGTGTCAAGGGACAGTCTCAACAAGTGTGCCTGGTATAGCTAACAAGCAATGGTAAGGTAGTGTTGATTTTGAGATGCGGGAGCAGCCGCATCACTAGCGAGAACCTTGTCAATGCGGCATGGCATCAATGCAAGTAAGGCATTCGAACAGCAGTATCAAAGATCTAAGTGACGTATCACGTACGGCTACTCACGGCGCCGTTCGTAACACCGAGTCGCCTAGGAAGCTCAGAGTATTCCGAGTGCATGCCCGACAGATCACCAGTGCCAAGATCTTAGCCTTTATTTCCAAGATGAACCACTAGTTTCTGTAAGCACTATCGTCTTCGGCCTTGCCCAGCGATACGCAAGCTTTGGCACCCAGGTAATATGTGCAAGTTAAGTAGATACCAATACCTCAAACAGCGACCCAATTGGATTTGCAATCAGTCGTAAGCACTGCGAGGCTCGTGATTGGGTGCTTGAATGCGCAATTGCGATGTCAAGACGCAAAGACTTCCCCCGATTCCACTGTGCTTGCACTTCAGGACGAGGGTCTCTGTTGGAACAGCAAAGGCTGATAAGGAGTAATAGGCAGGTACCATGGGCTGGCTGGCACCTGCCCTGGGCGAAGTGGGACAACTGGCTTAGTCATCACGGCCGGATAAAGGTGGGGCAACCACTCAGGCCGTCACTACCTACTTCGACCGACTCCTGCCTACAATGTAAGAACAACAACAAGAAGAACAAGCAATAGGATCACCAACAGACGAGTGACAGTCTCAGTCGGGGGAACACGCCTTCGATCATGAGCAGTCACGCCGTGTCTCTGAATGATCGCCAAGCCTAGTCAGCAATTGTATCCGTACGTGCTTTCAACAGCCAACCAGATTCATCAATGACTGTCAAATCCGTCCCCACGCGTCACGGATGGTCCATATTTGATACCACAAGATGCATGGTTTCCATTCATGCTTCATAAGCAAAGAGTGACACCGCGAACTATCATAGACTGATGAACAGTATTTATGTGAAGCCTGAGACCTATCTACTCCTTGTGGCAGGATCTTTCCATGATCAAGTGCTCAATCACATTTTACACGATGACCGTAAACAAAGCAAAAGTCACCGAACATGAATCAGGACGCAGTCCGCTCATTCTCATGGTGGCCTTCCCTGGGGAAGGTCATACCAACCCCCTGCTTGTCATCGCAGCATACCTCGCCAAGAAGGGTTACGAAGTTGTGTTTGTCACGACTGAGAACTTCCGTAACAAAGTCGAAGAAGCTGGAGCCGAATGGGTTCATACCGACAACCCTATGACCAACACAACCTTTCAAGCACTCCGCGAAGCAGCTTCTTTGCCAATTGGTCCGGAGAGGTTCGCTGCGCAGATCAAAGCTGTTTTCTTAGAGACACTTCCTCCACGAACACTGAAGATGGAAGAGGTTCTTGCCGAGTTGCAAGGACGTGATCCAGGCCGCCAGATCATTGTTGTCGAGGATGTCTTCAACTGGTCAATCTTTCCCTTCAGACACGGCCGTCCTCTACCTCAGGGCTTTGTTGCAGCGCCCAAGTCAATCGGCATTGGTGTTGCAGCATTTATGATGGAAAGTCAAGACATGGGACCGGTCTCACTCGGCTTGCCTGCGGATGCCACCAAATCAGGTCGTCAGCGGAACGCGGTTCTTCGACAACTGGTTGAAGAAGGCCCAATGAAAATTATGATCGATGCATGGCAGCAGGCCATGAAAGACACAGGGTGTACGACCATCCTAGAGACAAACATGTTCCGTTCATGCTATGCGGCGCATGACTACACATTGCAGCTTTGCTCTCCCAGCCTTGAATATGACCTTTCAGATTTGCCATCATCTGTGGAATTCGTAGGTGTTTTGCCTCGAAAGTCCGCAGCGCCAAGCTTTCAGTACCCTTCATGGTGGTTAGAGGTCGAGAGAGCTCAGAAAGACAACATATATCGGCATGTTGTCTTCGTCTCCCAGGGCACTGTCAATATGGATTACTCCGAACTCGTTCTTCCGACAATCGAAGCCTTTTCAAAGACTGAAGACACCCTTGTTGTTGCAACCTTAGGAGGTCGTGGTGCTCAACTTCCGCCTAACTTCACCGTTCCCTCCAACGCTAGGGTCGTGGACTACATGCCTTATGACACTGTGCTTGAGTACACCGATGTATTCATCTCCAACGGGGGATATGGTGCTCTGACACATGCTGTGAGAAATGGTGTGCCCATTGTCCTAGCGGGAGAAAGTGAAGAGAAGATTGAGGTCACTATGCGGGCGGTTTACGCGGGCCTAGGAGTCAGTCTTGCAACACAGAGGCCTTCGGCAGATCAAATCAGGATGGGCGTTGATCGAATATTCCAAGACACTAAGTTCAAAAAGGCAGCAATGAAACTGAAGCATGAGAATGACGGTATGGATGCATTGGCAGCAGTGGAAACAAAGGTTCGGGCACTCACATTGTAAGGCCCGAAGAACTCAACGGCTGTATAACAAGGCTTTCTGAGCGCTACGAATTAGAAAATAGATCCCCTCCACTCGATACCAATTATTATCCTTAAACTTGTCCTTTTTCCTCGATACCAGCCGTGTGCCTCCTATCATGTTAAGTTGACGATTTGATCGGCAGCCATCTCTTCTTCATTCATCGTGCCATCTAACAAAAGTAACACTTCCTGTCCAGGGGCCTACTTAGGTTGTCTAAGGTAGGTGCGTCCTTGAGAACTTTCCGAAATCCCACTTGTGCATGGGTCTTGATTTTAAACTAGATTGACTTGTTTTGAAATTTCTTGATTGTTTTTGTGCCATTGCTAGCTATGCTTATTCTACCAAGCTAACGCTGCCTTGCAAAGTATTCTGAGCACCGCGCAAGCCTTGTCACTCATCCTTCTGTGGCATTGACCAATGCGGTATGATTGCTTTGAGTGCAAGGCCATATTGACACGGGTCAGACTCAATACTAGCGCAAGTTGTTACTATTGTATAAGAATTAGTTTCTGTTGGCGTTGCATTTCGTTGTGTAGACTCACGATGCGACTGACGGACGCGTGACCGAGCGTGATTCTGAATTTATCCCGCTTCAACTGCATCATGGTCAGTGTTTTCACGGCAGGTGAATGAATAAAGCAGGGGATAAAAGATTTACCTGCACCGAATACTGTCCAGGATAATTCGTGTCCAGGTATTCCTTAAGCTGGCTAGAGCTGACTTGGGATGCAGAAATTATGGCATTCCGGGTGCCATCCTGATTACTCTGCCATTGAACCTTGCCGGAAGGTGTATGACTTTGCTGCCAGGCCATGACCCTAAGTCAAAATTTGAGGTACGAAATCGAAAAGGTAATTATCCGTGGGACTGAAAGGTCGCGGTGGGAAAAGCAGGCAACCAGACGCCTTACGTTACAGTTGTCGGAGGCGAAACTCCTATTTCAACCTGGAAATGTCCCGCAAAAACAAATCGGCCGGGTGATCAAAGTGGCGAAGGTCGGCACATTGCTACCAATGAAAATAATGATTAGTCTCCTAATTGACAGGTCAAAAGTCGTTCCGCAACCTGCTCATCGAGGATCTACTTCACTTATGAGGTTGTGTGATTTTCGAGCCCGGTTTGCCCTAGACCGCCATATCAACAATGTCTCTCACCGGTCATATTTTCCTCTCGAGGTTCCGGCCATCGTCGGAGGCAGCCTTGGCTTGTTGATTGGATAGAGGGGGCAAGGATTCAGGCGCACCACATGGCGACCCAGCCCCCTTTGGAGGCTTTGCCGGATGAGCCGCAGTAGCTCTGCGTTGTCAGCGCATATTATCGGTTACACTGCAGGCAATAAAAGCAAGGTTTATAATCCCTTCTGAGTCCTGTGTCTTTCGTGCTGAGTGTGCTTCTTAAGCGCACTTGGGTCTGCCCGTAGCCAACTCGCCCTGATGTGGGCTGACTATCGCTGCTGCTGGCCATCCCTTGTCTTGCCACGATCGAACATCATGCCGAACGGGGGGGGGGGGGGGGGGGGGGGGGGTTCGCGCAGCACATCCTCAGCAGTCTCATCAAAAGCACCGGGTATGTGCATCCCTCACCTATTTCCGTATTGACGCGTCGGATGGTATGAAATGTGGGAGTGTGATTCGACTGAGTGTGTGATCTGTTGATTTCTCATTTTCTTCCTAGGGCGTCGACCTTATTGGCAAGGATTGATTCGCCTCGTCTTTCCAGACTCTTGAAATACTTCTTCAGAGTGCAGCCAACGTACTTGCAACACCCAGGCCCTTAAGACATAAGAGCCAACGACCCAGCCCCCATCTCTGTTTTCGAAATTGATTCCTTTGAAGACAACGTTGAGGCAGCCAGTGGGGGCCGTCACTCGGCTCAAAGGATGAAGGTGGGTGGGTGATGGGCCGAGGCCTCCTTGGGCATACACTTCGTCGGGCTCTGTCGGATGGAACAAGCAGGCTCTCCGACGGCACGTGTGGAAAGCGAATTCTGGTTAAGTGCAAGACATAATACCCAAACCAATCACGACACTGCCCTCATCTTGCTGCGGCTTGTTGAGATCCTGGTGCGCGACCCGTTGCCTTGCTGCTTCTGCCTTATCAAGATGCCATCGCTGCTCAAAAGCCGTTTTTCTGACCGAATTCTACATTTGATGCAAGGTCTGTCAACGAGGCTTTCCTATTAAGGCCAAGGATGGGTGGCAGACACAGGTAAGAAGATGACAAGGCCAGCAAATCATGGTCCAAGGCACCACTCCATCAAGTGGGAATGTAGACTCTAGGAAAGTTACTTCAACGCTCATAGCCCGTCTATGTACACGATTCTCTTTAAGATCTGATCCAACCCGACTCCATTCCGTTGTATAGAGTGCATGTGGGTTTCGCACTTCTTCACCTAGTGTCGCCTCATTCGATTTCTCTACGCTGGAGCAACGTCTTTGCGCATCATATTTGGTCGACAGATATTGGTGGCAAGCTGCGAGAAACAGCTTTCAGGCTGACCACTGAATCCACACAGAAGCTTGTTGGACATCATTGGCAAGTTCCCTATCTTATGGGTTGAGGCTAAGGACCAAGTCAACTAACATCGTGCAACCCAGACTTCGAAATTTCATCATGGCAGCCAAACCCGAGGAAGTTTTCAGACTGTTATTCCAACAAGGGAAGCTCGTGTTGGATAACCCGCAGAAAGTCACACATATTCATGATAGAGGCGAGTCCTTTCGACTGAAGAGCGAACAAAGAAATCCGCCAAGCCGAAGAATCAACGGGGCTTCCAGAAAGCCAGAAGATTTTCGCTTCGAACGCGATGTCATCAGGAATATTGCCGGCGAACTTGACGAGGCGGCCGCCATGGTGCCTCACCTCCTTGAACCCGATAAAGATTTTGTACCGCGGCGCACATTTGAACAAATCATGACGTACAGCCGGGTCTTATCCGCCGTTCACGTGCTCAAATGCTTCAAAGGTGTTCAAGATAAGGATCAGCTCGCTAGGGAAATTCTACATGGCAGTGCGGACGGCTCCAAGGCGCCCTGTGTCAAGCTTCTCGCAATTCTGATCGGAATCGACAAGGCCGAGGACATGTTGATTCACATGTCGGCTGATGAGCTGAGAGATAGTTGTCTTCCTCTACAGAAGGTGCCTGCTGACAGACGTCGAACTCTTCGCTGCAGAAAGCACAAGGATCATCGACAGCTCAACACATATTCTCGCTCAGATTATCGTACAAGGTTCTCTCAGTGGTCATACACAGTATGCTCGCCCTTTATCAAGTGGGAACAAGGAAGACATCAGCATTACATACTTGATACTGGGGACGTCTTCCCTATGGAAGTTGTGGCCAAGGTCGAGGAAGAGGAGAGGAAATCGGATTCCGGTGGAAACTCGTACGGAGGTTTCAGCGAGGTGTACAAAGTGAGAATTCACGAGGGTCATTCCGACTTTGGAGTGCATGGGGTAAGTACTTAAAGTAACATTGTGAAATAGACCTTGAGCCGGGTTCGGCCATTCGACTAACAAGTTCACTCATCTAGATTCGACACCCACAAGGCTACTTTGCGCTGAAGAAGCTTACGTCCCATAGTCGCGACAGCTTCAATCTTGAGTTGTCGTCACTCGTCTCCACTGCTCAGAACTATCAAAAGAAACACATCATCCAGCTATTGGCCACCTTCGAGGTCAAAAATGCGGCGACAAGGGAATCAACCTTCTATCTCTTGTTCGACTGGGCTGATGGAACTTTGAACAAATTTTGGCAGAGCAATCAAGCTCTGGTGAGAGACAAGAAGCATTGCAAATGGATGGCCACTCAATTCTATGAAGTCTGCGAGGCCCTCCGCTACGTTCACAACGACCGCGAACCAACTGTGCGATATCTGGAAGACCGAGACTCCAATAAGCAGTTATACGGACGTCATGGGGATATCAAGCCAGGTACGTTGACTATCTCTACTACATATCGAAATTTTCTAAATTGTGATTCCCAGGGAATTTCCTGTGGTTCAAATCAGATAGCTTCCCTGGTATTCTGGCCTTGGCGGACTTTGGTCTTGGAAGACTGCATACCCAAGTTTCCCGCTCAAAGCAAGATCCCAACAGCTTGGAGAGAACAGCAACTTACCGCTGCCCCGAATTTGATCTGGAATTCGGTCTCGTGTCACCAAGATCCGATATCTTCAGCCTGGGGTGTGTTTTCCTCGAATACGTCACCTGGTTTTTGCTCGGACTTGAAGATGTGGAGAAAACATTTCCCGATTTCAGATTGGAACAAGATAAACATGGTTTTGACTCTGATGTTTTCTTCTCAATCAAAGACAAAAAGGCTTTCCTCAAGTCCTCGGTTACCACATGGATCACGAAACTCAAGAACCATCGCGATTGCTCTTGGTACCTTTCGGACTTGCTGGATATCATTCGAGACCGTATGCTAGATCCCGAATCCACGACGAGAATCCCATCGAGCTTGTTGAGCAAAAAGATGAAGGATATTTTGAAGACTTGCACCGTCGACCCAGATTACTATCTTAAGCCCAAACACTGAGATTTACGAAACGGATGGCTGAGAGGCTCAGGCAACTATCCGAGGCCCGGTAAGGTGAATGGGTCACACTTTTTCAACCCCAAGCTCAAGCTCAGAAGCAAGAGTTATCATGAGGCCCACATTGGATGGCGATTATATGGATAATACCATCATCTATTGCCCGATTTCAAGGAGAAATGGCAGGGTGTCCCGTCTTCTTTACGCATGCATTCAACTTCCATACAACGTTCCAGTTCGAAAGGTCAGAACTTCCACATCCCGAGCATGAAGGCCAACTAACTCAATCGTTGTAGTGTACCCTAATGCGTTTTTCGATTGCTGCTAGCTCGCCCTACGAAACCGAACGCGTTAGTCATTTCAGTGCGATGTGTCGATGACTCGATTTGAAAGAGGGAAGATTCAGACTTTTTTCAAAGGCCTTGGTAGCATGAGGATGAATCTGTTGGCTCTTTCCTATTTGAAGCAATTGTGAGAATCGTGTAATACCGTTCGCAAATGAGAGTATGTAGTATACCTTAACTTTATAATTCCCTTGGCCATAGATTGTGTCCAGCGATGTCTTCAACTTTGCGGAATCATGATATCTCGCTCTCATCACCTCCTCGCATGGGAATTCCGACCCTGGACCTGGTTTCGGTGCTGTTTGTGTTGTCTCCGTACTGGACCATGTATCTTTCTTTTCAAGTTCTGGTTTCGCTTCCGGTTTGTCACCGCGACTCAAGGTTTTGCGAAAGAAGGACATTCCGAGGTGTCAAGGCCGACTAATCCGTTCAGTGCCGGCAAGGTGTGCTTCACAGCGTTTTTGGCGAGAGGCTTGTTAATTATCGGTGTCCAAGTTGAGGCGAGGGGAGGAGTGGTTGGAAACCTGAAAAGGCACAACGGGCGGGGGCGGCATCCGAGCTGGCTTCACTTGTGAGGCTCTCCTTCTCGAGAGGATTGGATCATGCGTGCAGGTGACCAATCCCGATATCGAGTCCCACCTGCCCTGTCTTGCATGATGCATGGAGGTAATCCCAATGGCGGCCCGACAACACATACATGAACACTGCCTATCGCTCCACCTCGGCTCTGCCTACATACACTAGAAGGAGAGGTGTTTTGGCTGCTGCATGTAAGCCGACATGCAACTAATCGGTCTTGGCCTAGGCCAGCATGGTGTACGCAGAGAGCGTGGAGGCATACTAAAGTGGCCAAAGGCATTCTGCGAGGCAGGCTAGAGGGCGGGATCTCATGAGGGGTTTGGAATTGTAGAAACCATGAACGACATTACGGAAACAGCCTTCCTGTCAGAGACGCCTCTCGCATATTGATACAGGTTTCTCTCAAAGCAGTCAAGATACATAGGCTGTCGACGCTGTCGAGGACCCAACACTTTCTCGCCCACTCTACCTACATTTGGCACAGCGTGCCTCTCAACACCCATGCCGTTGAGCTAGTATCGTTGATTTGACTTTGGATTCGTCATCACCAGACCTTATAACCTGAAGGATGGATTTACCTATCGAGACTGTGACGTGGTCGGCATCAGATCTTAGTTTCTTTGGATACAACGAGCGAAAGGCTGTGGTTCTGAGATACTTAGAGGGCGAAGAGGTCTGTGTTGACCCATCGTTTGTAGCTCTCGTAGAGACTGATCTCTCACAGCCCACAAGTCAAGAGCTTTACACTAAAGAAGACTGGGAGCGATGGTTCAGCTCCGTAAGTTGATATTGTTCTCTACTCGCCTGTTATTAGCGCTAATTACAAGTACCAACAGTCACAGAGCAGCTCTCCTGACTGGGAGGACTTGAAGCCAGGGATACATATAGTGTGAGCCGAATAATCCGAAGACCTCAAACTCCGGGCCTAGGCATCGCGACATCATACTGATACCAATTAGATTATGTAGCAGAGCTCCTCCAGACTCCGAAACACCGGGCAGAGTGCAATATCTCCCGTTAATGAAGAACACCTGGGAGAGACTCACTAGAGAGTTTCATGTTTCCCGAAATGTGAAGCGAACGATAGCAAGACTGGTCCCGTGTTTCTCCTCGGTTCGTGAAGATGACGCGACGTCAGGTCATCTCAAGATGTGTTCGTCCCCCCCTCGGTACTTTCTGCATCAGCAAATGCCAAGACTGACATACCTTGTAGCATTCTCTGCGCGCATGTCTGCAAGTCTTCCAGACGATCTAGCAATTTCTACCACTTACATACCAAGTACCGGGTCCACATTCGCTGTCGTTTACGGTTGTAACGATGACCAGATGGAAAGCATTGAGGCAAAAGTGCGGAGAGCAGGCAAGCAAGCCTTTCACCCACTCTTAGTACCAGGAATATTTGCAGAGCTAGAGAGAACTAGGCTGGTTAATGCGGTAGAAGATTTGTTGGACCCGTTCACGCTCCAGACAGAAAAGCTCGAAGGACAGCCGTGGAGTCCAGACGCAGATACGGAGGGCGCGAAAGCACAACAACACCTAACTCTCTGTGTTAAGAGTCAAAGCCTGATGGATCAAATTCGCATGGTGAAACGACAGTTGTCCAAGTTTTCAAAAGAGATTGATGTTGTAACGACGGAGCTTGAGTCACTGGATGGTGCCGAATATATCTACAGCAATGAACCGAGAGCAGCAGAGGTGGCAAAGGTGGGAATAAGGATGAAGAGGAGGGTGGACGACATCATGATCGAGTATGACGATAAAATCGATGAGTGTAACATGATGATCTGCAACACATCATTGGCAATGCAAACGGTTAGTTGTCTGCCCAAGACTCTACTCTACTCCGATAGTTGAACGAACTAACATCAATACATGTAGGTTTGGAACCACATTGCAAGACAGGACTCAAAGACCAACACCAAGATTTCGAAAGCAAATGCTGCCATTGCAGTGCAAACAAAGGTCGAGAGCGCGCAGATGAGAACGATTGCGCTCTTGACCATGATATACCTCCCTCTTTCGAGTGTCGCAGTACGTCATGTGTTCCATGTTGCTAGGACCTCTTCACAAAGACGTTCATCTTTACTGACGACCTTAGGCTATCTTCTCTATGGACATGTTCAACTGGGAAGCAGTTGACGGCCAGTCTATCGTATCAAAGCACATCTGGTTGTTTGCAGTCCTGACTGTTGGTCTCACATTGCTCACCATAGCTGCTTGGTTCTTGGGGACAAGGCGAGTGAAGGCCATGGCGGATAAGTCGGATAATTACTTCAATGCGCCGCAAAGACATGACACATTCGAGTACGTTTAGGAGGGCACTTATTTGGACATGGAACTATGTCTGAAATGGGGGAGAGGGCTGATACAGGGGAGACCAAATCTGATTTCCATCTAGAGAGAAGGCCCGTCTTGGTGTTTGACAATTGTAATATGTTGGTAGTGTTGGAGGACCTTGGTACTTCTGTTAACATACGTGTACTTTTCGACATGACTTCGACTTACGTCCATCAGGACCAAGTTGCTGGGAGCATGCCCTGGGAGTAGTGTCTCTGCTGCCTGGCTCGTGAGAGTCACTGCCATGGTAAGGTAGATCATGTTGTAAGGCCCGTTGGACACCTTCTTCTGCATGAGGCCCCGGCTTGGCGAGGGTGACACTTGGCATGCCAAGTCAAAGACCCCGAAGGTTGCTCGCGGCTCGGCAGCTGGTCACCCATTTCTTCTTGTAAGTATCCCATCGACTGCGAGTGGGCGTCAGTACAATTGCCCCATTTCTATGCCCCACTTCTGCCCCTCACAAAAGGGGTACATGTGCAGTACGTCACTTGGCCGCCGTTTTCATTCCCATACTTCCACCGCTAATATCAAATATCTTGCCGATGTAATATCCCACGATGGATTTAGACGACTCTGATGGATCCGTTCGATTATATATTACTGTTGCTATGACGCCCGAGGACCTCGCCGTCGTCTGCATAGCCAACTGTACGCTAGAGAGATGTGATGAGTCAACAGTACGGCCGCGAGAATCGCCGTTAGTTGAACATGGTTATCTCGACCAGTACTGCCTACTTACTGTCCCTTAACGAGATCCCACGATTCGAAGCCTGCTGGAAACGCCACTATAATTTTTGATACAGTACATTCCTCAAAGGATGGTTAGATCATGGGTAAAGTGGACTAATGAGGCAAGGAATACGCGGTACGGTCTATAGAAAAAGGACTCTAGAGAGAATAGATGGATGCCAGCCTCTGCAGAGGAGATCTATCTGTTTATTAGCGTTTTGATTTACATGGGCATCCATGAGGAAGCCAAAATATCTCGATATTGGTCCTCGTCTCAAGAGAAGGAAGATCCCGTCCACATTTTTACCCGGGCTTTGCCTCGAGACCGTTTCTAATTACTCCTCCGTCACCTTCGTATTTTTAATACCACTAAATTCGATCAGCTAGCCATCCCAGCTATAAAACATAGTAAGTAGCAACGGGAACAATCCTGCGAAGATTTAATACCAAAGGTCTATCGCCAGGTCAATAAATAGTCAGCCCATATACAGGAGGTTAGAGACTCCTTTTTCTTACCTAACAGTAACCTTACTATTAATAAGGTAATAATACTGTTTACTAGGCACTCGCTAAAGATAACAACAATACCAATAAAGCCCACGCCCACCGGATACAAAGTATAGGTTTTAGCACAAAAGGGTTATTATATACGATAGCTTTAGCACGTCCATAGTAAAGGCCCATATGGGCTGGTGCCTCAGGAGCAAGAAAGCGTTACCAACAAAGGGGTAGTAGAGGAGCGTCTAACGCCTACTCAGCGAGTGGTTACTACCTTATTGGCTCTACTACTAGTTGCTATATACCACGTGTTTCTTGATAATCTATTTGCCTTAGTCAGGCTCTTTAAAGCACTCCGATTAAATCAAATCGGGGTAATAGGGACTTGTCAAAGGGATAGTAGCATTGATAAGTTATTAGTGGCTAAGAAGGAGAATAAGGGTAAGGGGATCCTATAAGGGGAAGTTCATACCATACTAACAAAAGACGGGCAGGTAAGTATATAAGAAGAAAGTTAGTTCTAATGATAATATGGTACTTATTAACTCCTTGGTATTTGAAGCAGGTTCTTCAAATAAGTTAGAAGGATAATACCCTCGTACTTTTCCTTACTACAGTATATCACGACACAGAGCAAGTCATCCGTAACCGCCGCCGGTCTACTAGCTCCTCTACTGCCCACCGAGCTGCCCGCAAAGTCTTTGGAGATAATGCGCAAAAGGAGCTACCTTTCCCTATCTATATTAACAATTACAACCACAATATGAACGGTGTAGATACAGGGGATCAGATAAGGTCATACCATCAGTTCGGACGTCCTATCCGTCGCAGAGGTTAGCAGTCAATCTCCTGGAATTTCCTCCTCGAGGTTATACTTGTGAACACCTTCCTTCTACAGCGATAGGGCGAGCCAGACTAGCAGCAGTTAAAGAATCAGTATCAATAGCGAAGGGAACTATCTACCCAGCTTATTCAGCACTTCGGGCTATTAGTCAAGGCGCGCCAGCGTACCCGGCCCCAACGGGCAACAGACAAGCAGAACAACACTATTCCCTAGCAACAGCATATTAGGAAGAAGCAAGGAAGCTGCTCACCGTACTCTACTTATAGCAGTCGCCCTAAAGCAAGGCAGGCTCTACACGAGATCTCTAGGAATAGTAGCAGAAGGAAGTACTCGAGATCAGGATGCCAGGAATACAATATGTCTCTATATAACTCAGATGTTTGCTAGTACAACTTCCATAACCAAACTCTCTAATGAATCGAAGTACCTCCGAACAAGCTTTTTTGGTTAGCTAAGATTTTGCTTAGCAGAGCTTTGATTGGCTGTACTCCGCACTGGAGATGTACTGACGCCCACTCGCAGTCGATGGGATACCGCTAGGCACTCCGTGTGTGAAGTCCATGATGGACAGTGCGGAGGATAGAGCCATGGCGCGAGTTATGGAGTACCTTAAGTTCATTAAGCAAGGATCAACAACAAGAAGGCAAGGTTCGAATCGACTTTTCGATATACAGGGATTTCCATCCTCTTTGGGTAGTGTAGAGTAAAGAATACAAGGATTGCGATGGTATTGTAAAGTCAGAAACCATATCTGTCCGACCAGAGCACTCTGTTCATGCAGTGTCATGACACCATTGAGCTAAAGTTTGAGCGTCGCTTGGGGAGGCAATAGCGCGGTTTTTGGGTGTCTTGCATCTAAGCCAGAAGAAGAGATGCACGAAGTAAGCGTGGCCGTGTGGGAGGATAGGAATATAGTGCTGACAGACGGCGATCGGAGGCCGCGAATCGCGGCCCCGCTCTCTTACAGGCCTGTTGGCGATGCCGCGGAGCCGAAATGAGGGTGGAGCTGGTGCGTGAGGGAGTTGAACGATGGCCTGCAAAGGGGAAAATTGCGACCAGTGAGGATCGTCCAACTTGCCCGTTGCAAAATCTCTGGGCGCGCAGCAGAAAGACGAACAGCAAGGGGAAGTTCCCAGAGGAGCGGATCCGGTCGGCACAACGGCAGGGATGCAACGTGGAGTTTGGCTGTGGCAGCGCAGCACAACAGGACTGGACGGAAGGTGGGTGGTGCAGCATGCCGTGGTGGATGGTGGAACGATAAGGCGAGCGGCGAGCGTGCCTTTACTGTATGTACGGAGTATGGGATGGTGACGTAAGGCATTTGTTCCTGTGTGCAATTTCCATCATTCCATCAATCCCAATCAATGATGCATCAAGTTTATTCGTGAATGCAGATATCTCTTGCCAAGACTATTGATGCTCCAGTGAGGAGAGGGGTCGCGGAAGGAAGAGACGGGAAGGATGAGAAACCTCGAAGACCTGCCTCGGGGAAAGCAAAGAGTATCCGTGCCTCCGGACTTCGGTAAGCAATAGAAAAAAAGTGTTGTGTGGGAAAAATGCAAGGAATCTGGCGTGTCTGGCTACTCCGTAGTGCATCCGGTAGTGGTGATTTGATCATGACCAGGGGCTCACCACGTTAATCCTCTTGGAGTCTAGTGTCGCAATTCCTGTCACAGCTGGAGGAGTACGGCAGACTGCAAGAGGCACTCCGCCAAAACACTTTTTTCATGCGTCAAAGCAGAAATCGAATTTTACAGTCACTCCACCACCGATTATTGAACTTTACACTAGTAAGATAAACCATAGATATAGTTTACATAGAGTTACGGCTTGAGATATATTATTGATTAAGTTTATAAGACCCGTACGGCGATATATAAAATTGCGTATTATTATAAACTATTATAAAAATTCTTCCTTCTTATTATACCTTTATTATAACGTACATGCATAGCGAGTGGCCCACTTTCAAATACCCTCCAGCCATTTGTATAAGTCAATTAAGCCACATCGTACAAAATTAATTAGAACTACTCATTAGCCTCTTCTTCAGAGGTCTTCTAAACTACCTAACATATTTGTAAATCATATCCAGTCTTTCCGTAATTACCACATCGCCACTCGCACAATTCACCCCCCTCCGTACGAACACCCTCCTAACGTATATTTTCGCCTCTAGCATCAACAACCCCCTTCTCTACCCGGATTACCTCAGCCTCAGCTACATTAAGTGACCCTCCAAGACGCAGTTAGGTTTTTTTAGCCCTCCGGCGCTTACTTAGTATCTCATTTACTATACGAAGCTCGCAGCACTCAGCTTTAATAAGAGCTAGTTTATATATTAACTTACTAATACCTTTAGCTTATAAGTCAACAACTTTGTATAAATATGTTAGTGAGCTATATTAATGGCTATGAATCCTTTTTTTAAGTAAATCAGAGCTTTGTATGGCATCATGTGCTATAGTTAGTATCTTTAGGTCCCAAGAGCCCTAGCTGCTTAGGCGTAAGTTAGATAGTATTGGCGTTTTTGGCTTAAAATCCAGGCGGGAAATGACTACTTCTGGGTTAAAAGGTACAAGTCCAGCCTATCTAAAACCAGCTCGTACGTTTCTTTACCCATTGAAGTAAAAAAGACTGCTTTGAAGGCAGGAAAGAAGTCGTCCTTAGTAATATACATAATCTACATCCGCATTATCTTCTCGATTTCTTTACCGTACAAAGCCTTTAGCGGACTAAAACTGTCGTGGATTATCGTGATCATATTGTTGTCTATGTTGCGTTCTCTCCTTTCCAGATGCAGCCAGGAATATCCCTCATCTGAGGCACCTGGATTCCTACATTTTCATTAGTTAGTCTCACCCAGATTATTATGGGTCTAGATTGCTCGTTCTGGTCCGAGTATACCCGCCCAATTCCACTTCCGCACTTCAACAACCGTAAGTCTACTGAGAAAAAGTGGTTTGGCGGAGTGCCTCTTGCAGTCTGCCGTAAGGAGCTCCAAAACCTCCTTCACTCCTTGGTTCACAGCCCTGCTTCACCTTGCGATCTTCGATTGCTTTGAGAGACGGGGCCCGCTACCCCTTGCCTCCTTGTCTTTTTGCAATTAGCAACTGGCAACAATCTGATGATCATGGACTCGTTCCATGTTTGGCTGTGCAAACGACAACACAAAACAAACATTCATTTGAAGTGATGTTTACACTTTACTTGCAATCTGAATATGTCTTGACTTCATGGTCATTCTTTCCACTCAAACAAAAAGCTTGGGGTGCATCCCAAGGTCCTAGAGCATGTGGGAAGGCACGCTGGCAAGTACCGGGAGCTACCTGGTACCCACGCACCCACCCCCATGTCTGCGGCTGCCCAGCCCAGCTTCTATGGATGCGGAACTTCTTTCTTTTCCCAATGACGCTTGTCTTTGATATCTTCCAACATGAAAGCAACACTTGGGATTATTGTCTCACTCCCAGTCTCTCTCTCCCCGTCTCGCCATCTGCATCTACCAAGTCTGTTCTCTTCAGGCTATCCTCCAGCGGCATCACCATGGTCCATGAGTCCTCCTGCGCCAAAGCCAACGCAAGGGCAAACACTCGCCATACCCCAACGGTTCACCACCCACCACTAGTCCACCACCACCAACAACATTGAGCATAGGTCGAGACCGGGATGACGCCGCATTGCCGGGACAGAAACATAGTTTCGAGGCCGTCGAGGGTTTGCAGTCCCCACGCTGCCCTGCGACATGCGTCCTGCGCAGCGCGCTTGCTTCCCCTGCATCCACCGGGGCACCAAGGAGGTCCAACAGCAAGCAAGTTGGCAATCACTGCGCGCGCGGCGCGCCCCTTTTGTCCACGACCTTTTGACCACGTTGAACCCATGCTGCCCTCGAGTCAAGGTTTCGCCATGTTGCGTCTGCCCTAGCACCTGCGGCTACGCATACCTCGCCATTCCCCGTTTACGCCTAGGATACACTCTCTACTCGTACGGATACATGACGCCTCTACGGATACGCAGCGACGGTACAAATATAGATACTGTACAGAGTGTACGGAGTACCACGTTCTGTACGGCTACAGAATGGTAAAAGTACACTAGAGACCAGACTGTGCAGTAACCTCTCGCCCTCCCATGGACCATCCCCAATGGCACAATGCTGCTCCCAATTCGGAAGCGTCGTGTCCCCGGCCATCCTCTAGCGGTGGCCGTCATCGCCGTGGGCCGTGGGCCGTGGGCCGCCGTGGATCATAGACCATGAATGGACCGTGGGTCTTCGCTATGGAATGAATTGTGGCTGCTGTTGGGGCAGGGCCGGACTGATATTTGGTCTACCCCCAAACTCGATCCCAAACTCTAAGCCCATTCCTCGAAGCCTTTTTCGTCCTGGTTCGTCCTGGCCGTCGTTCCAGACCAACTCGCCTCCACGCCTTACCCTTCCTGTACTTCGTCAAGAAGCCACTGCTCTTGTAATGCTTATCCCCCCATCTTCTTTCTTCTCCTGCCCTACTTGACTTTAGCTTAATCCTCCGTTCCCTCGCCTTGCTCCCGAGTACCCCCTTCCCCCATATCTGCCAAGGAGACCCGTTGGACCTGTTCCCCCTGCTCAGACAACGTCAGCTCGTCTTCGGTCCAAGCCCTGCAGTCGTCGTCCGATCTTGAATCCTCTGACCGCGCATGTTCCAAACAAAACTCGACAACGGCCGGACTTGACACCTTGCCTCTGCGTAGTTATTGTAACATCGAGTTTCAGTTACGGCCGACGGGACTCTTTCTTGGACGCTTAATATCATCGTGAGCTTTGTCTTGGCACCCGACGTTGGCGTAGACTTACACTGTAAACACCTCTAGAACCTACATAGATACACTCTGTATTCCGAAGACGAAGACGACGACGACATTGACGACATCGACGACGACTCGATCCGAACCGAACCTCATTCCATCGGTACGCCAATAAATACCAGAATGCCGAAACCGGGGGATATCACCTACGCTGAAGAGCGGTCTTCGTCGTCCGTAGAAGACTTCGACCTCGACGATGAACATAAAGAGCCATTGCTACCCGGCTCGGCCTCAATCTCGCGCAGGAGGCAACGAGGAACGCTACTTGCGTGGCTCAGAGGACGGCCAAAGTCGTTGCTGAGAAAGTTCCGTCGACAACCTCGATCACTCCCACGACTCTTACTCCGATACACGTTTATGTTCATATTCTTCATCCTTGTTACTACACCAATATTCTTCCCGTCATACACGCGCCACCCGAAGCACTATAAGGATCTGAGGAAAAGATGTCTGGTGTCCGACAGCCTGTCTGGTTGCGCCAACATGCAAAACGAAAAGGTCTTCATTGCCGTCAGTCTGTTTGATCCAGAGGGCAAGATTGCAGGCGGAGAATGGTCCAAGAATGTGTTGGATCTGATTCACATGCTCGGCGAGGACAACACATTCCTGAGCATCTACGAAAATGACAGTGGTGATTTGGGTACTGCTGCGCTGGAGGAGTTTAAGAAAAATGTGCCATGCAAGTACAAGATCGTCAGCGAGGGTCAGGTCGACTACAACGTCTTCCCGCATGTCACCCTGCCTGATGGAACACAGAGGTTGAAACGCTTGGCGTATCTGTCCGAGATGCGCAACCGCGCCCTCTATCCATTGGACCGGTACGACACGGATGCAGGGATTGTCAAGTATGACAAGATCCTGTTCCTCAACGACGCCCTATTCGCGCCGGTAGACGCCGCTCATCTGCTGTTCAACACGAATGCAGGCGAAGACGGCCGAGCTCACTACCTTTCGGCGTGCTCCTTGGACTATGACTGGAACCCCTTCCTCGAATATGACCTTTATGCGCAGCGCGACGCTGAAGGTTACTCCAACGGCATCCCAATCTTCCCATACTTCACCAACAAGGGCCAGGCGGCCTCGCGAAAGGCCATGATCTCGCAGACGGATGCGGTCCCCGTCAAGAGCTGCTGGGGTGGAATGGTGGCCATGCAGGCCAAGTACGTCCAAAACATGGACAAGAAACTGCCGACCAAGGACTGGCAAGCTGTTGCGCACCACGTCATTAACCCGGATCACCCTCATAACGCGACGACACCCGTCCGATTCCGCTACGAACCCGAGGTCTACTTTGACGCCTGCGAATGCTGTCTGTTCCTTGCCGACATCACGAGTGTTGCGGACAAGGCTGGCGAGCCGGACATGGGCGTCTTTGTGAACCCATACGTGCGCGTGGCCTACCGTAAGAGGACCCAGCGCCTCGAGCGTGTTATTCGTCATTGGGAACGGCTCATGGCCCTGCCTCAGGAAATCATTACGTACTTTTCACGGTTCCCGACCCCGAACCCCCACAGAGAGGTTGTCGAAGGCCAGCGCTTCATGGAGGAGATTTACCAGCGCCGGGAAGGGTGGAAGATGGTTGAGCGGACAGGGCGCAACGGCATGTTTTGCGGAGTGCGGGAGATGCAGCTCATCAAGGAGGGCCCACGTAACGGACGCAACTGGGAGAACTACTACAACATCCCGTGGGCGGAGCAGCAGTTGAACTTTCCCATCTGATGTTTCTCGATTTTGACGAAGTTTTCACTGATTGGTTTAATGGGGAACACGGCGCTTGTGGGCTGGGTTGATTACGGAGCATCAGCATTACTTTTTGTTCGGCAGCATTGGATCAACCTGTTGGGCATATCGACATTGGCTCGACGCGGAGAACGTTGTTGGGTAGGCTGTCTGCCACCTAGGAGAGGGTGCGAAAAAGAGAAGGGGGAAAAGGGGGGTTTTTGGAAAAAGTGCCGTATACGTACTGGCACACTTTGTGCACCTTGATACCACTTTCATTTATACCTTTGAATACACTACTATCGACGATTCCTCTCAATGGCCGCTGCCATCACCCGTCCCTGGACAGAATGACCTCGTCATTGGACTATCGTGAGTTGGATGAGTGATGCGAGTGTCCCGGGCACCATTCGTAAGCTACCTTAGGTAGGCATACATACCCACCGCAGCTGCCCTCACGTTGCAAAATCGATGTGATTTCCCCTGAAAGCCGACTCGTTTCGACGTCCAACTTTTGCGCCAGAAAAGCCGGAAACCCCCACATCATAGACGCTTTGGAAACACGTCAGACCTTGGGACAGAAGATGATTTAAACAAAGTTGATTCATAATTCACTGTTGAATTGGACCCCTGTTCGGTCCTTGCTGCAGTAAAAGTAACAAGACTTGAAGCAAACCAGACCAGCCCAGACCCAGACCCAGACCCAACGGGTAAGATACCCTATTTGCATTTCCGCCCCATGGTCCAAAACCCAAACGTTGCACAAAGACAGAGAGAGATAGAGATAAGGTAGCCTCCAAAAACAACATGCGGACGAGGCGCGTATAGACAGACAGCAACCCGAGAGAAGACGCCCTACTAGTGGTAACCCAAAGTCACAAACAGCAAGCCCAAAAGTCCGCTCGCTCAACAACAATCAAGGTGGTATCTTGGAGGAGAAAAGACACTAGCAAGCCCCGTAATGAAGATGGGAGAGAGATTCATCCATGCGCGAGGCATGCTTCGAAGAAGGCTGGGCGGCAGATTCGTCGTCGAGGCGAGTGACGGATGATGTAAGAGGGAGACAGAGTCAAAGACATAGAAAAGGAGAGAAGCAACCAAGACACACTTAGGCGGCGGCGGGTGTCGCCTTGGCCTTGGTGGTCTTGGGCTTGGTCTCCTTCTTGCCTGCCTTGGTGGCGGCGGCGACCTTGGTCTCTGCCTTCTTGGCTACTGACTTGGCCTGCGGAAAGATTTGTTAGCATCAAGTTCAAATGTCAAAGGGTGACAAGAGATACGAGAAGAAGAGGGTCTGATCATAGGGTTTGGGCAGGGGTAAGGATCTCGTCTAGGACGCGCGAGTTTCGTGCCCAAAATTTTCCAAACACAGAAACAAAATCATAGAATATGTCCGAATAAAGGATGTGATCCGGGGAAGTAGGAGAATTTGCAGGTGGTTGCGGTGGAGGGCTGCGCGCCTCAAGAGTAGAGGCAAGGCAGAGTGCATCGCGAACATACCTTAGTAGCAACAGAAGGGCCCTTCTTGGCGGTGGTGGCCTTCTTCTTGGTGACGCCGACGGGCTTCGCGGCCTTGGCAGCAGTAGAAGTGGTTTTGGGCTTCTTCGCAGTCGTGGTAGTCGTGGTGTTCTGCTTGCGAACAGGAGCGGTGTCGACGACGGGGAAGAGACGCGGCTTGGAGTTGCCGGTCTGGGAGCGGGTTCCTTCACGGGCCATTTTGACGGTTGGTCTGGTGTCGCGATGGAATGTTAGTTATTGAGATACGATGAGTAGATTGACGCGATCGCGATAGATGTGATGCGACGAAAAGAAGAGGTTGTGGTTGTGAATGCGCTCGTGAGAAAGAGACGAGAAGAGAGTAGGAGGAGGGGGAACCCAAGAGGCGTATGGCGATGGCGCGATGGGCGGGAAAAACGGGCCAAAAGTGTGTAGTTTGGAAGACTTACGGAAGGATGAAGATTATGGGAAAGTGACGAGTTAGAGCTTTCTGAAGCTGTAGAATCGAGTTAATCCAAAGAACGATGGAAAAGGTGATGTTTGCGACGAGAAGTGGTGGAATGGCGAGGTGTTGTTGTGGAAGAAGAGAAGATGGGAGGTGACGTGGTTTCGTGTTGCGGCGCGAGAGGAGGGGAGGGGGGAGGACTGCGGATATGGCTGATTGAGTGCTGGCGGTCGGTGGTGCTGGTGGTGGACGGTCACAAGGGGCACACACACACGTCTTCACACACACACACACACACACACACACCTTTTCGCACGGGAGGAGCGGTGTCGGAACACATCTTTAGGAAATTGGATTATCGTGGAGGCTGTGGATAGAATTGAATTTCATGTTGTTTACTTTCATTTGGCTAACTAAATTATCTTTCAAATGAATGGAGTAAAGCCGCACCTTCTTTCCTGAAGAACCTGCGAGATGATGAAATGGAAGGAGCACCCTATTGACCTTGGGACGGCAAGATGGAGGGAAAGAAGGCACAAGATCTGGATGGGTTGGGATCTGCCCGAATGGGCAGCTGCGTCTGATACTTTCCCTTCCCTTCCCTTCCTTTCCCTTTTCTTTCCCTTTGGAGTCTGGGTAGGAAGGTAAGGTATCTAAAAGGTAAGGTAGGTAGGCACCTACCTACCTGACTCCCGTCCTTCCTGCTCTTTGGCTCAAACAATTTGTTTTGATTCTTACCCGTCGGTTTGGCGTCTTATCAAACACGGCAAGACGGCCTGATATGGCGCCCCTTCCCACTTCATTCTTCACCACAGACTACAGTACCTGAGGTTGGCAGTCACGCAGTGTCCCCCCTTTTCCCTTGGCTCTGTCCCCCATTTCTCTTGAATCTTCCCCCCCGTCCTGCCCTTGTCGACCCTCTCTCATTTGCATTTCCCTCACGTATTCTTTTACCTTTCCCCTCTTTTTGCCTTTTGCTCTATTCCTGATTTTACCATGATTTTCTCCATCAATTTTCCCGCCTCGGCGCAGACCCGGCAATACCGAGTCACCTCCCACCTCTAGCCTCCCCAGATTCGGCGTGGGGTTTGGCTCATGTCAAAATGTCCTTTCATCTTTTTTGACTACATTTCTCATGATGCAGTCAGGCCCTCAAGCACTATTCAGTCTGATTACACCGTCCCTCGAATCGTCGCAGTGGCCATCGTAATCAATTTCGAGGCAAGATTTGGCCACGGCAATCCCACCAGACGGTGCGGATAGACCAAGCACATGATGAACCCAAGCGAAGGACGCGCCAGTTCTAGACCGACCGAAACCACCCCCGGCACGCGACGTCTGGCGCCCAACTCCCCGGTCTCTGGAAGTCTTGTTTCTCGTTTCCGACGGGAGCCCATTGCGACGGATCAGATGGCTTACGGCCTACGGCTTATCCTTACGGATGACAGACGCCTTCGCCGAGATTCCCTTCCACCGTGTCCACATTCTACAGTTTCGACTACGGATGTTCAGTATCAAGTCATCGACTCTTCAATCTTCATGCTTCTTCAGCGGTAATGTCCGCCTGAACCGTGCAGCACAAGCGTGCCCCATGACCACAGCGAACGCCACGCCCGCTCTCGTACCCATTTGCTTTCCTCAAGCTGCTTCACATGGCGACGTCTTCATGTTAAGAGACTATTATCCCCGCATGTTGGAGTGACGGACAAGGAAAACAAGAATGACTAGGAGCATCCGAAGAAACGGGATGAGGTGATAATGGCGGAATGGGAAGACTGTTCCTTCGCCATTCCCTTCGCCATTCCCTTCGCCATTCCCTTCACCCACAGCCCACGCACGCCTCGTACACAGAGAAAACGCCCAGGGGATCTTGGCCACGTCCCACAGCGATCATCGTTCCAACGGCGCGCCCAAGGGCCTCCCCGCCGCCCTATCTGCACCAAGGGTTTGTCCGTGCTGGCCCTGCTGCTGCCAGACCGTTGAGCCCCGCAAACACGCTTCTCTCAAGTCAATCTTCAGGAATCCACACTGTAAGACCCCGCGCGACAATTTTCGAAGCCATTCAGAAGTCCCAAAGTCCACGTTCCATGTTCAGTACTTGCACTTGTGCTACAGCCATGTGGCAATCAAAACCCAAAAGTGGAAGTGTTTGAAAGGAAGTTGAATTTGACGGCTCGCGTTTATGTACAAATCGACCGTTCAACTCCCCTTTTACCAAGTTCGGCCCCCACGCCTTCACCCGCACCGAAAAAGTGTCCCACGCTGTTCCAAACTTGTCCTGGATTCGTACCGATAGGCATGCTTTCTCAGGTCCGTGTGCAAGCTCTTGAGCTCCTTGTTCAACTTCTTGCTACGCCCCAATATCTCTTTTGCACCTTGCATCATGGCTTCGTCTGCCTGGTTCAACTTGCTCACTTTCTCCCGGATCGCCTGCGTCCGCCGCCGCTCACACGACAAGTGATCAATGTTGACAGTCGTCACTTTGCTGACCTCAACCATGGTCACCCCAGGCCGCTGTGCCACTGCCTGGACTTGACGCCATTTGGTCTGCAGCTTCAGTTGTAGAATGAAACCTCTGGCTAGCAGCCGTAATTGGTCGACTTCAGCGCTGACTACACCTCACAACAGTGTCAGCGACCACAATATCGATGGTTTGTCAGGGAACCTGGGGACATGCTCACACTCGACAACGCTTTTGCTCAACTCGGTCCTTGTGCGGCTGATCTCCAACGAACGGCGTACCAACTTGCTCGCCGCGTGCTGTTGCCGTTGGCGATTCGATTCCCTGACTTTGATGACGAACGACTGAAGCACTCTTCTCCACCATCTTTCCTTGCTAGGCTGCGCCAACTCCTTTCGGTCCTCGTAGCTCGCCGAATCTCTAACATCCTCAATTTCGACAACAGTCACCTTGCCTAACCCCCAGTCTTTCTTTCCGCAGAGAGTCTTCTCAGACGCGGACTCGGATGTGGCCGACATACTGTCTGTTGCGGCGTTTGCCCGTTCAGACGCTACTTGCAGCTGATTAGCAAGGGTGATCGCCTTGTCCACTCGGCTCTCGGTGCCTTGAGATTGCACCGCAACCTTGCACAAGGACAGAAGCTCGTCGTACCACTTCACAACCTTCTTCGTTGTGAAGACAGCCAAGTCAACGTCGAGCTGAAGAGGGTCCGAACCGAGAACCGAAGAAAACATAATGGCATTCCAGAGAGGTTGCGTGTTGTCGTCGCTCCGGTCGACTCGCCTGCGAGCCTCTCGAAGGGCGACGGAACTCGAGGTCGTCGCCAATGTCATTCCACGAACGGGATCAGTCACCTGAGCATAGCGTGTCAGCGTTCTGCACAGAGACACAGTCAATCGGCCTCGATACATACCTCCATGTACTTAAGAAGAAGCTCCTGAGTTGCCTTCTGGGCACTGCCACTTGGCCCGCCTTGCTCACGGGGATGGCAGTAGTAGCCTGCCGGCTCGATGCCCCAAGGTGTGGTACATTCTCCAGCAATGCGAGGATGGCAGGCAAACGAAAATACTTTGCCCCAGTCGAGAGTGCCTCGCTCATCGGTATTCGCCTTGGCCAATCCTGACATGATGTCTCTGAGTACTACCATGGTATCCAGAAACGCACGTCTTGCAACGCCCATTTGATCATACGTCAGCCATTTATGCATGAATCTCATCTACTCCATGTGTTAGTGACGCCTGAACGAGGGTGGGTTAATAGGCAAGCAGTTGACTTACTTCCAAAACCACAATCTTGGTCGTCTTGTCTTCGGTGTTTTGCCCACGCGCCAGCCTTTTCGCAAACAGATGCCATCCTGTCAGTTGCTTTTTGTGCTTGTCAAGAAGCAGGTACTTCCACAATGATATGAGGCATTGAGGAATATCCTCTCGGGTCGCGTAATAACGACACTTCAGGTCGAAGCTGAGCCGGTCCTTCGATTGCTCCTTGGACTGCCGCTCTACCGCCCTGGCGTTCGTCGTTTCGGGCTTGACCCTCAGGGGCTGCGTTTTGATGGCGATGCAGATTGAAATGGGTAGCATAATGAGAGATGTACTAAGCTTGGCATGAGAATCCTGAAATGCGAGCGTCCTCACGGGCTCATATGCTGAGAAGGCACGTACCCTTATGGGCGTGGTACGACCTTGGTAGGCCGGGTCTCGACTTGCTCAGCAACCCTGTGGTTCTTGACTGCGAATTAGTCCATTTGTGACTCCCGGTGGCTTATCCATTGCATGAGCTTCCCGCTGGGTTCGTCGAAGATGGCTTCAAGAGTCGGCGACATTTTCTCCCGAGTTGAAGGCTGTCAGACTCATAAAGTCGTCGGCGAAGGCAACTTTGCATGACGTGTTCGTCAATTCAGAAACTCTCATGGCAGCCACGCGAGATACACCACCTTGACGCCGTGAGAATCACGGCCTACTTGACTCATGGTTTCGTGATGGTCCTGAAAACAGCGGAGGGTGGCTTTTTAAATCTCCACAGACTTTCGGGTCCCACAGCGGCTCGGAAATTCTCATTCTTCGGCGACCTGTCATGGACTATTTATTGAATTCTATTGCCGGCTGTTTCTTCCTCATCCATCTTTAGGGAATTGAACCGCACACCCAATTGCCTGTTGTTGTGCTTTTGTGACTAAATCTTGCCCTTGCTTCACTCTCTTGCGGCTTGTGACACGACCTTGGTGGAGTCTAGAGTGAAGGCCTTGATGGAGTCTAGGAACGTTTGACATCTTCACGAGCGAAGCCGAGGTTCTTTACCGAGTTTAAAGTGGCTTTCATCTGTGTTCTACAGTCCTTCAAGGTCAAACCGAGTGAGATTTAAACTAATCATGAAGTTTTCCATTTCAGACGGCAATACAGTGACTCCCTGGATTTGGAATAAGACTTGAGGCATCTAAACCGTTTGCACCCCTAAGGGCATGGGCCAGGAGCTTGAGGAATTATGCATCTTTCTAATTCTCGGCTTAAGCTTCGGGCGGAAGAAGTTCTGTAATTAAGGACGGTCGATGTGCGTTCGAGACCACGCCGCTGACGCGGTACTATGGTGGAGGGGCTGAGCGGAAGTGACTTCACCACCTCCGCCATCGTCCGCTCATCTCCACGCTGCTTCTTCAACGTCTCCTAATGACATTGACGTTTCGATCTTCATAAAGAATTGGTTAGAGAAGGAGTGATTCGGTATCCTGGCGATGCGTGGACTTCAAAAAGTCTCTTTTGCAACTCCGAGCGAGACGGGATCAATGCCCAGGATGGTGGTTTGAATTCACCTCACTGAGAAAAGAACACGGAGCATTAGAATTTCTTCACCGCTGGCTTCACTTGAAATTGAATGATTTCTCTGAGCTATCCGCGCTTGAAGCTATTTTGACTGTGATCGGATAGAAATATAAGATTTCAAGAGATTCGCTACTAGACTCAATGGCAAGCTTATCAATCAAGTTGACGACTCATCAACGAGATCTACTCGATAACCATGGACACTAAGCCATTTCTCTCCACCATCATCTTGGCCTGATATATCGGGCTCACCTCATCCTTCCCTTTCCAATTTTACTCGAAATGGCAAAACCTCTCTGACATGCCCATCTTCTCTCGCCAAGAACACGCCGGCGTCTTCCTCCTACTAGATACCATCGCCATCCTTTGATGGGGAAGGTGCATATTCATGGGTGGGTTTCGCGCTGGAGGGGCTCCTACGAGTCACTTTGATGTCTACGTTCTTTGAGTTTGTGAGATTCTTGGAGTCATTCTGATGCCCTATCAACGAGGCTCTAGACTTCTTGTTCGCCAAGGAGACCACTGACCATAATGGGATCTTCAAGCCGCTACAGGGGGCACGGAATGCCCTGAAAAGGGGCTGGAGCTTGTACTTTTGTCTATCCTTTCTATAAACCCAACTGTACTCTATTCACCCTTGAAGCATAGCGCCAATCGTCCCTGGGTTCTCCATTTATGTTCGTTATCTTCTTAGAGATACTGATCAGCCATTGCCCATCTCCCTCCTCCATCGCGCGGCAAACTTCCACTGCACCCCCGCGCCTATAAGCGCAACCAGTTGTGCCACAACACACACAGTGAAAGCCCATCCTACCCCAATTCCCTTCACCATAGGCATCACAAAGCTTGTACCGCCGGCGGCGAAAAGACACCTGGCGAGGTTGACGCTAGCACTAGCCGCGGCGCTGCGGTCGGGGAAGATGTCGATGAGGTACGTCATGACTAGAGACTGTGTCGAAACGGCGGTCCAGCCCGTGACGAATGTCGATATGATGGGCGCTGCGATGTGCACCTGTCGAGGAAAGTTGATGGTCCAGCCAAAGACTGCGATGGATATACATTGTAATAGCGCGAAGACTGGTATGAGACGGAGACGTGCCTTTTCGATTGGAAATCCCTGGTGGGGGTCCGAGTTCGCAAGGGTGCTTTCTTGATCGTTGCTCGCGTCATACTTTGCCTTGACACGCTGATAGTCAATGTCAAGGAGTTTTCCTGTGACCAGCGTGCCAATCACGGAGCCCACGCCGTTTGCGATGAACGTCAGGCCAATGTGAGTTTCTGTTAGGCCGTAGCGTGATTCGAAAAGACTTGACATGGCTGTGATGCTCATCTGCCATACCGCGTAGTAGACTGCGAGGAACACCACGATAGGTGCTGCGCATTTGTTGAAGAGTATGCGAAGGGGTCCAGTGATGTCAACGTGCTTGGTTGTCGCCTTCTTTGAAATCGATGCGCCGGCATACCGAGGGACTTGTGAGGATGCTTGGTAGACGATTAAGGGGTACTTTCCTAAACAACCCCTCGGTGTTCTAGCACCGTTGCCGACCACGGGCCTCAGAGTCTCCGGTAGGAGCAGCACAAGAAATGTGAGGAAGACGGCACAGTATACGGCCAGGAACCAAAAGATGCTCCTCCATCCCAAAGATCCAGCCAAAGCGCCTCCAATCACAGGTCCAACGGCGACGGGAACCAGCAAGCCGGCCTGGAAGACGCCCATATACCCGCCTCTCTCTTGCCGAGTCGTGATATCGCTGATGACTCCTGAGCCTACGGCAATGGTGCTCGCGCTCCCGGTGCTCTGGAGACATCTGAGAATGATTAGAGTGGCGTAGTCTTTGGTTTCCGCGAGACCGATGCATGCGCCCAGGAACACGACAAAGGTGCAGCAATAGGCGACCCGTCGGCCCTTGACGTCTGAGATTGGACCCCATATGCTTGGTGCTAGGCCCTGAAATATGAGGTATGTGGTTACTGTGAGATTGGCGAGCTCTACTGAGACGTTTAGGCCGTTGGCGATGGTGGGCAGGGCTGGGAAGTAGATGTTTGAGGCGAAGCCTGAGACTGGGGGCTAACTTAGCAGGGAAAGCGACGTCTATCAGAGTCATCCACTGGACTCACAAGTAGCTGCAATAGAGACTAGAGCTATGATGACTCTTTTTTGATGTTTATCAAAGATGGTATATGGTTCGTGAGATTGATTAGACGAGGGGGGCACCGCCGTGTTGTTGGCGTTGAGGGGTTGTTCTATGCTTTGAGGAGCCATCGTGGGGGTTTGTCTTTCTTGACAGACTCAGGGTATGTTGGTAACCATTTAACAACAGTCAATCCATTAGGACTGAGAGGACGAGAAGCCAGACTAAATACAATTGCAACCGATGCCGATGTCTTGTAATAGGCTTGACCATGACGAACGGTCTCCGGAGCTGAGCCCCACTATTCCGGAGTTGAGACTTTGCCCCATTTTCAATCGCAACAGTGAGCCCCCGCGGCTGAAATCTGTACACTGCTGTGAACTTGATACTTTAGGTAATGGGAGGAACTCTTCAGAAGACTCCTCTCCAACTTTCGATAGGATAAGTCATGTAGACTGATTCTTGCCAAAGGACAAGAAATCGAGACCCAGCGCGCAAGATTTCTTTCGGGTCCGAATCCGGAGCCGGAAGTCCAGATCCACTTGTTCCGGCCGCCGTCTGGTTCATCCGACATTACGCCGACGGATCTATCAGCTATCGCTGCCAGCTGGTTACATCTGGTGCTTGCCAGAAGTGGACCGGAGCTTCCTTCCCGAATCGTGTGCTCCCCTTTCAGGTGAGTTCACCTACTTCTTCCGACGCAACTTCAACCTCACTTCTCGACAGCATCACATGATTGCTCTTCGTGTTTCCACGGCCTGAATAATGAAGAATCGGCAACATGTCGACATTCAACGGACTCGTCGCGGAGTTCCCTGACATACGAAGTAAGTCTTCTCCCTAACAATGCACAACGCGCTTCGTCTGTTGCCTCACAGCATTCACCTCACAACGTTGGGTGCGCCTTAGCGATCCGTACAGCAATCACTAATCATACCACAGTTGACTTCTTTCGGAAACATGCAGACCGTCGTCCGCCTCTCGCATGCTTCCTAAGCCATATACACAGTGATCACTTGGCTGGGCTCGACTCCCTGCGGTCTCCTTTCGTCTACTGCTCCGCAGCCACTCGGGAGATGCTCCTCCGTCTTGAGCGTTACCCTTGTCGCATCAATTACGCCAAAGGTGTCCTCGAGGCACGCGTGCAGACCTACAAGCATCTGAAGAATCTGCTCAAGCCGTTGCCCTTGGAGACCCCCACGACGTTGGAGCTGGCGCCGGGCAGTCACATCCAGGTCACCCTGTTTGACGCAAATCATTGCCCAGGGGCTGTCATGTTCCTCATTGAGGATTCATATCACGCCATTCTCTACACGGGCGACATCCGGAGCGAGCCATGGTTCGTGAACACGATTGCCAGAAACCCGGCCATTATCGAGTACACCTCCGGCATGAAAACGCTCGATAAGATCTACCTTGACACCTCTTTCATCAAGGACATACCTTTCCAAACCAAGGCCGAGGGTACCGCGGAATTACTTCGCAAAGTAGCGCAGTACCCAGACGACACCGTCTTCCACATCCAAGCATGGACCTATGGATACGAACAGGTCTGGATAGCTCTGGCCAAAGCCCTCAAGTCCCGAATCCATGTCGACGATTACAAGATGCGCATCTTCTCATCGCTCACCGGCAAGAGAACCAATGATCGTTTCAGCTCCTCCATTCATCTATGTCCAGAAGCCCCTGCTCTAGCCGGCTACGTGTGTGGTAATACACCCCACCCTGGATGCCTCACCCGAGATAAAAATGTCCGACTTCACAGTTGCGAGAGGGGAAACTTTTGTAACACTGTGAAAAGTTCCAAAGTGGTGTCCATTCAGCCGGTCATTGCGCATCTTCGAAGTGGTGTTGATATTGCTGAAGTTGGTGTGGGCGGCGGCGGGGATGATTTAGAGCGCGACGCCGAACTCGATCCTCTGTCAACGGAAGACATCGCGGCAGTCTCAAAGCTGATTGAAGAAGCGGATATATCCCCAGAGGCGAAGCTTCGTTTTTTTGAATTCCTCGAGACGGGTGCCAAAACCGGGCGCAACCTCTCCCTGGATCTCGACCTTGCATCCTTTGGAGAGAAGAACGAAGCAGCCATTATGGACGTCTTTCAAGCAGTTGGTCGAAAGAAACAGCTTGAAGAGCAATCCACACAAAGTTTAAAACCACCAATAGACGGACCAAGTGGAGAATTGCCGAGGTTTATCACGTTTCCGTACTCCCGACACTCGTCCTATCAAGAGCTATGCGACCTGGTCCGAGTCTTTCGCCCCAAAGATGTGTGGCCTTGCACAGTGAACCCTGCCGACTGGCTCAGAAACACCACTAGTATACGATACCTCTTTGGTGATTTCTGCTCTGGCGATACCTTCGCCCATGATATGGAGATGGAGAAACTCGCCGAGAGTTTGAGGATCCTCCAACAACCGCTATCCCAAGGCCTTGGAGGCAGTCAATTGCCGGCAACTGAGGCTCACATCACGGCGTTGCATTCCTCGCATAGTCACGAAAGCAATGCATCCGAACCTTCCGCCGTTGCCATAGAAGAGACGCTTGTACTGCAACTCGATACCAACCCCGGTTCCGTCGAGGCACGGATCCCCACACGGGAGCGGCATGACTTCTCCAGCAGAGTAGAAAACTCTCAGAACGTTCTGGAGTCTCCGATTCCGCATATTGTACCAACACCACTCGTGTTATTTGCCGATGTTTCTCACATTCGGGCGGATGCATATTATGCCATGGAGCAAAATTTCCTCGGCGGGGAGTGGACGCCAATTGGACTCCTCTCCACGATTGATCACCATACTACTCCAGATACGGATCTTGGAATGGTTTGAGCTTGACCATTGTCTCAGCGATATATACTAGAGCATCACCATTGGCATGGATTCGGGCCATCAGTCTTGGTGACTATGATTATCATTGATGATCGGGTCTAGTTCATTGACGAGCTACGTGAACTAAGGAAATAGGGTCTCAACGCCGTTGTAATATGACCAACCTCCCATGATACTGACTGGGCCATACATGGGTGCAAACTCCATTTACGTTCTGTTTGCCGCGTTGTCCTATTGTGGACGCAACGCTCCAGCTTCCGAAACACCCCACCGGCCATCAATGTACTGTCGCAAACTCTTTCCCCAGAAAGCAAGGGGCACAGCGACGCCTCCCACGACGAGGAGGATAGCGCCCAATTCGAAGTTGGCACCTAGGTAACCTTGTGATCTGAGCCACGGTGTGACAGCGTAGCTCGTCGCGAAGCTCAACATGTACCCCGCTCCGCCGACGATAACCATGGCTGGCGCCGCCCAGCGAGGAAAAGCCTCAGTAACCCAGAGTGTTGACGCGATGCCGTAGGCAGCCGCGCTGAAGGCGTTGATGAGATAGGAGACGAAGATCCAGATGAAGCTCCATTTGTAGTGCACAGTGAAACCGTACAAGAAGACGCTGCCCGCACCAGCCAGCACGGCGGGGAGAAAGGCGATGAGGTAGTGTTCCGCATCTCGGATTCCCCCGTTGCGGAGCGTCAAACGGCGGGCAACACGCGATGTCAAAATGGTCGACACGGGCCAGGCGAGAAGGGAACCGATCGCCGAGACAGGGTTGACCAGGGAGATGACACGCTCGGGAAGGTTGTACGGCGGTTGGGACATGACCACCCCGTACGTTTCGCCAATGAAGATCATTGCGCCAAAGTTGAGGGCGTTGAGGATCGCGACCCAGAGAACGAGGGGATTGCATGCGCAGAGCATCGTCTGCACATAGCACGTCCACATCTCCCCGAACCCTGCACCACTCTTACGCACTCCCCATCGCCTTACCATGCCCTGCCAGACGGTCTCGGGGACGGCCTCGCCTTGGATGGCCGCGCTGGCTCTCCCGCCTGGCAGCTCTTCCCAGTCGTCGTACATCTTGACCTTTTCCGAACCATCCTGGACGAGAATGTGGCCGTCAAAGGCGACGGCTGGTCGGACGAAGTACGTCTCGGGCAGGAAGAAGAAGACGCAGACGAATACGGCGAGGCAAGGGACGAGCCAGGCCGTGTAAAAGCTTCTCCATCCTGGAGCCGCAAGTGCCGGGACGATGCGTAGGGACACGAGGCCAGCGCCGCACCCGACACTCCAAAACATGCCTAGAGCATTTGGGCGCTCGTCGATGAAGGTCAAGTCAATGACAATCAAGATGGACTGCAAAGCACCAGTCAGTCAAGCACCGGGGAAGAGGGACGGAGATAGAAGGGCCGTGACATACCGCACTCAGGCTCAACCCGGCGGAGAACCCCTGCAAACCCAAAGCCCCGAGGAGCTGGTAGAAACCCGAGGCATTCGCAGCCAGGGCCGTGGCGAGTGTCAGAAAACACGAAGCCAGCAAGAAGACTGGTCGTCTTCCGACGGCTACCGACAGGGGTATCCAGAGAAATGCCCCGAGACCGAGGAATATTGTGCTCGGTGTTGAAACAAGAAGATTTAGTGGAAACTTGTCGGCTTGCTGGGATAGTGTAAGTGGCGGTTTAACTGGTTTGAGGCATTACCGCCTGATTGGGGAAGGGAATTATACCTGTCCGTTGAACTCGACAGCGAGAGATTTGTACATTAGACTGGCAGCTTGCGTCTCCAGCGTGGAAACAATTGAATATAATATCAGTACTCCCATGGCGACGAATCGCTTCGACAAGCTCCAGTTCAACGGATCGTAGGGCGAATTACTCGGCATGGGTAGCTTGAGTGTCTTGCCATCGGAGGTGATGAGGTAAATGCTGCCAGAAAGGTTGGCCGAGGCCGGCCGGTCTGGAGATCGACTGCTGGCGCGGCTCATTGTGTCCGTAAAAGAGGAGAATCGAGGAACAAAACAAAGAGAGAGATGAGAGATAGAGAGAGGATAGACAAAGAGAGAGAGAGATAGAGAGAGACTCGTGTAATAGTGAGCGGACACGATTACTGCAAAATTGGACCAAAATGTCAAATTAAAGACGGCCGGTGTGCTGCCAGAACAACCCGTTGGAGACGACAGCAAACTAAGGTTGACGGGACCGGGAGACCAGGTCCCTTAATATGAAGAACATGGAATTGTCGAGAGTTTCTGTTGACATGTGGTGCGTGGAGAAAGAGACCACGTTGGGCCTGGGTTCGATAGAGTA